ACAATTCGCCATTCCCTTGCATTTCTTTCCTTATTCTTATCACCCCCTAAGCTGTAATCTCTTTGGTAAGTCACTCTCAAAACTCATCCAATCGTCTTTCCACGTCTCTCATTTTCTATGCAAATACAACGAAGAAAGAATGTATACAGTACGACCATTATTTTTTTTCTCAGCAAATCAGCCCAATGTGTGATGAAATGTTAATTAAATTATGTCTTACAAGTTTACTTTAAAAAGAATTGTAATAATATGATTGATATAAAGATATAAATAAAGAAAACTAAAAGAAAAAAAATAAAAAGATCTCACAATGCAATTATACATATTTATTTATTTTTTTGTTATAGATATTTTTAATTATGATAATAATTCTTGAAACTATGAAATTTTACATGAAATTTTACATATAATTTTCGTTTATAGATATATGTGATATTATAATTATATTCAGTTTGTTATATAATTATTTTATAGCATTCTAAAATTAAAAGATATTAATGAATTATGAACCTTGATTTCTCACAATTCAATTACAATCGAATTGAAAATAACATTTCATTGCTAGTAATTTATTATCTTCATGAATATTGAAATTTACATACTTCATTAGCATTGTGGTTGATTATAGATTAGCATTATTTTAATGAATTTATTTCACAAATAACAGATCGCATAATTAAAATAATTAATCATGAAAATGTCATAGCACAAACAGTCTAAAAAAGTTTTAATAAAATAAAGTATTAAATAAAACATTATATATTGAAAGATTAATTTTACATATATTTTAAAAACAAATGTCCAATTTAGAAAAAAGCTAACATCGTAAAGCTAAATCGTATTTTTTATTTTAAAATTAAAATTAGCAATAAAATAATTAATTATGTAGATAAAAGTAAAATATTTATGTCAAGTATTAGTTATATCAAGTATTAGTTATGTCAAATATTTACTGAAGTTATCGAAATATCATTTATCAAGATATTATTTATCGTCAAACTGTGATTACAGGAATATTTGCAGATCACACAGATCGCGGGTATGATTGCGTAATCAAATAATTAAAATGATTGACCATAAGGGAATACTACGCACACTGCATAAGAATTAGTTGGCTAATTAAACATTTGAATAAATTACAAGTTTTCGCGACAATTAATCCCCAGACTTAATTAGATTACCTAGTGAAATCATTGCAAGAGATTATATTGTACAAAACTTCCTAATTACGTTCGTGATTTCTGGACATATGGGAATATCCTTACCCGAGTAAATTATACAGACTCACTGTCAATCTAAACTCACGAAATGGCCTCTAGCTAGGGACCATGCTTCAACATTACATGCCTAAGTAAGTTGATAACTCAAACTAATTATGGTACTAACAATCAAAGACTAATATTTAATTAACATACTATAGAATTATTAATATATTACGATTAATATTATAATACTTTTTTTATTTAATTTTACGTAATTTGATTAAGTGTATACAAAGTATAAAAATAAGAGAAAATAGTGAACTTATTTCATTTTACATTCGTAAAAAAAAATGTCTCTCTCTCTCTCTC